CAGACAATTTTATTCATTTTAGATTATTTCAACTTATAAATAACAGACAATTTTATTTGTTTTAGCTATGACGGTTTTTTTGATTACAAGAAAGAGTTTTTGGATTTTAAAAAATTCATTGGGTATGCTATTAAATTATAACATTTGAAGTGGTTTTATAATTATCTAAATCAATTGTAACAAATTGAATCAAATGATATTGGTGGTAAAGGAATTGTTGTTATTTTGAGGTCTCGAGTTCGAGCACTATAAATGTCAAGAGCATGAACATTTAATGAAAAATGATTGAGAGTTATTTTTGAATATTTTTAAAAGTTCGATTATGATGTTTTTCCCTTTAAATTTTATCAAATTCATATTGTAACATTTTTTTGTGCTCGCTATGTAGTTTTTATTTATAATTAAACTTAGGTTGTATGTCTTGTTAAAAATATCTTTATTCTATTTGGAGAAAAATAGTACAACAAAGTAGGATATCAAACGAGAATATAACGTTGTGCATTTTCTATGAATAAATTATGTCATTCATCACTCAACTATCTCATCTCTCTTATTTTGATACTAAAGTTTTACAATTTTCAATTTAACTACTCAACTTTCAAATTGTTCATATTTTAATCACTTTAATTTATTTTATAAATAATTTTTGTGACATGGTATTTTTTTATTTTTTTATAATTAAAAATAAAAAATTTTGAAATTTAGAGTGATTAAATTAGGAGTAATTTGAAAGTTAAGTAATTAAATTAAAAAATTTAAACTTTACTGACCAAAATAGGAGGGGAAAGGTAGTTGAGTGATGAATTATGCAATTTACTGATAGAAAGTGCTGCAAGTCACCCATTAAGTTTTTAACGCAAGGTATTAAAACAAAAAAATTAATCGTTACATATGATTTTGAAAAAAAATCAAAAGTTTAAGTACTAAAACGGATCAAAACTAATAGTTTAGAAATGCATTATTTACCCTTTAATTTATTATAAAAAAATATTGAATTAAATTAAAAATAGAAATAAATAAGGGATAATTCCATGTTAATTAAAAAAATGTAGGGACTAAATTAAATTAAAATAAAAAACTTGAGAGATTTAACACGGAATTTACCCTTTTCAATTAAAATTGGCATTATATTTTAGTAAAAATACCACATGGCACATCCTAATTGGTCTATGAAGTTTTTTAACGGTTAAAGAAATTTGAGACAACAAAATTAAGTTTGAAAACTTTAGGGCAAAACATCTTAAAAGTATTTTAGGGAGTTATTCGGAAAAAAATTATATAGTTTAGGGGCAAAACATCTTGAAAGTAATTTAGGGAGCATTTCGGTAAAAAGAGTATAGTTTAGGGGCAAATCTACATTTAAACCATAAAAAATTAAAAAGTGTAATTTGAAGAAGAAGAACAGACGAAAGCAGGGGTCAATCTCTTAAGAATGTTTGGACGGTGTCGCTGATCTTCTTCCACATCAAATTTTAGCCTCCCATTATTGTTATTATTATTATTTAATCTCTTTTTTAGATATTTTTCCTAAATTTTGTTTTATAGCTCCATTTCTCTGATTTTTCGATATAATTCTCTCTTCTCCCATTAACCGAATCCGATTCACATCGGATTCAAAAATGGTGGCAACGAGACGGTTACGCAACCTCCAATTGCAGCCAGGTAATGGAACTTGCGTCGATTGCAACCAAAAGAATCCCCAATGGGCTTCGGTCTCCTACGGTGTTTTCATGTGCTTAGAATGCTCCGGGAAACACCGTGGCTTAGGTGTCCACATCTCATTCGTCCGATCCGTTACCATGGATTCATGGTCCGAGATCCAGATCAAGAGAATGGAATCTGGCGGTAATGAGATGCTCAACGCTTTTTTGGCTCAATACGGGATCCCTAAAGAAACCGATGTCGTTACCAAATATAACTCCAATGCCGCCAGTATTTATCGCGATCGTATCCCAGCCCTAGCTGAGGGCCGCCCGTGGAAGGATCCACCCATTGTGAAAGAGGCTCTTAACGGTGGTTGTGGTAGTAGAAGGCCGCCGTTGAGCGGTGGTGGTACAAGGGGGCATTAATAATAATAATAACAATAATAATAATAAAGGATGGGATAGCTGGAATGATGACGAATCTTTTGGCTCTTCGAATGATTTGAGAAGGAATCAATCAGGGAACGATTTTATAGCAGGGAATAAGAATGGCGGGGAAGAGGGAGGTGCTCCCATGAGGTCGAGGTCCACAGAGGATATATACACGAGGACCGAGCTGGAGGCTTCGGTAGCGAACAAGGAGAATTTTTTCGCAAGGAAGATGGCAGAGAATGAATCTAGGCCTGAAGGGCTACCACCTTCCCAAGGAGGGAAATACGTTGGGTTTGGATCGAGTCCTACGCCCACCCAGAGTAATGATCCTCAGGGGGACGTTCTCTCTGTTGTATCTCAGGTTAAGAAATTATTCCTTTATTTTATCTTTTGTGAAATGGGTGATTTTCATTTTATGATGATAGATAATCATTAGCTATTGGTTGAATTTGTCTGTGGTGCAGGGGATTGGGATGTTATCATTAGTAGCAGCATCTGCAGCCCAATCTGCTGCTAGTGTTGTCCAAGCAGGAACCAAGGAGTTGACCACCAAGGTATTTTTGGGATGTCTGTTTCCATTGCGATTGTTGTGTGCAAGTTGATATTTTGCACGACAATAGCAATAGAACAGTTAAATTCTTCTCCTTCTTTATATGCCTCTCAATCAATAAGTTAATCAACCCATAGCTGTAATATCACTTCATTTTCCTCCTAGTTACTTTTTCGTGCCCTTTTAAATGTTCAAAAACGTGTTGCTGTTCTAGTGGCATTTCATTGGGCTAATTTGTTGTTGTTACAATTATAACATGATTTATTTGATCTCCTTGTATTGCTATTTTGTAAGCATATGGTATTGGAATTACATTCATTGGGGCATGTAGGGGCGGATGCAAATGGCATTCATGGTAGGCAAGTGTTCACTCTTGAAAATTGAATTTCTTTCGGTTAGTTATCTATTTTATTAGTTGTGACTACCCTAAAATTTCATTTATATTTATCCCACAAATAAAAAAAAATTATATTGTTAATATATGTATTAACACCCTAAAAAATATTTATGGATCCGTCATCGTGAGCTTGATACATCCTTCTGTTCAGGTTAAGGAGGGTGGATATGACACCAAGGTTAATGAAACTGTTAGTGTTGTCACCGCAAAGACGACAGAGATTGGCCAGAGAACATGGGGGATCATGAGAGGAGTCATGACGTTAGCTTCACAAAAGGTCGAGGAGTACGCGAAAGATGGCATGAACTGGAGCAATGATAACTGGCAGCAAAACGAAATGGAGAAGAATGGATCTGATCATGACTTTAATCAAGGGAACAAAGGATGGGATTCTACTTGGGGAGGACAATCCTCCTCTGGTGGCAATTATAGTTCTCATAGCTCAAGTTCTTGGGATGACTGGGACACGAATGACAAGAGAATGGACGAAGGCACTACAGAGGTGACTGTTATAGATGGTTGGGCTGGCTGGGATGATACCAAGGATGGTGGATTTGATCATTTCCAAAATGGTACACCTAATAAAAGGGCTGTTGGTCGCAATGGAAAATCAGATGCCACCTGGTCGGGTGGAGGCTTTCTTTAAGGTTAATTTCTTCTATATTCCCATGCTAATTTCCTGTAGTAATAGATTAATAGTTTCTATTTTATGATGTTATTTATGTTTTCCAATGCATAAATGAAATTCTCTGATACATGACCAGGTTGAACTTGAATTATATTACAGTTATCTGAATTACCAACAAAGACTAACTAGTAGTTTATATTTGTAGATTAATAGCTGCTGTGACAATTGTTGGTGAATGCTTCTGGTGAAGTTAGTACATTCTTTAGCAAACTCTTTTCACCTTTTATCTTCCAAAAGGTTCACTAATGTAATTTCTTGCATAATTTTCACGTCTCAAAGTAGTTTATATTGTAGAAAAATGGCAGATTGCCCAAAATCGGAAAGAGGATTGGTTGTAAAGAAAATCATTATTTGTGAAATGAAACTTTTACCAACTCTATCTATTTTTCCTTTTTTTTATTTCTACTAATCCAGTAATCCTTATTAGTTACTATTATCTACTGTGGGCAGTGGCGGATACACTAAGTCTCTATAAAAGTTAAATGTATCTTATTATTTTGAAAAAATAATTAAATTTAACTTAATGTGTTAAGGAAAAAAATTACAATTTTTTCATACTCATTATTTTTAAGAAAATAAAAATAAAATTTTAAACTTTATTCTTAAATTTTTGAATTTGCCATTTGCCATTTATTGTGGGTACTTAAGACATTGTTCCCAGATAAATAGTAACAGCTCGTCTTCTTCGGCCTTCATTCCTCGAATTTAAATCAATATGAATATTATTTTAACATCATGAATTGTCATTAAAAATATTTTTTTTCTTAATTTAAATTTCATATTAAGAGTTTTAATAGCATCGAATACTATTAAACCTTTAAAAATTTAAGTTAATTATAAAACTAATTTTCTAAAAAAATTGATGAGATGGTTGAAAAAGATATATTTTGGAGTATTTGTATTTTAATTATTATATAATAAGTATCATTATCTTATTAATTATATCATTATCTTGGTAAAAATCAAGAACTTTGAAGAGGGGCTTTACTCATAAAACTTGAAATTAATTTTATTTATTTTATAAAATAAAATAAAAACAAATCTTATAAAGGTTAAACTAAAATAATTTTAACATACTTATGTAAACAATGACTAAAATAATTAATCAAAATACAGACGTCTTACAAATTGAAAGATAACAAATACAGTTCACCCTTTCTTTCAAATACATTTCATAATTAGAGTAACTAATGACATCAAATTTATTTACAGGATGAAAGCCGCCATTGATGAATTGCTCAAAATAAGACGATATCCCACCCTGGGGGGGGATTAAGAAATCGAGTGAGATTCTCACATGAAATTGAGGCCAAATTTCATTAAAGATGAAAGGCAGGACATTCTGATAGTAAAGCATTGAACTACAAAATAGCTTAACAAAAGCCTGCAACAATCAATTGCGAGAGATTTACAGAAGCCAGTGAATAGATTCCTAAAATCATTCTAACCACCGAAACCGTAAAGAGTCCTGCCCTGCCTCTTGAGAGCGTAAACAACGTCCATTGCCGTTACAGTCTTCCGCCTAGCGTGCTCCGTATAGGTGACGGCATCTCGGATCACATTTTCCAGAAAGATCTTGAGAACACCGCGCGTCTCCTCGTAGATCAGCCCACTGATTCTTTTCACCCCACCCCTACGAGCCAACCTTCGGATCGCCGGCTTCGTAATACCCTGAATGTTATCGCGAAGCACTTTCCGATGCCTCTTTGCTCCTCCCTTTCCTAATCCCTTACCTCCCTTTCCACGTCCCGACATTTTCCCGAGAAAGTTGATAGGAAAATTCAAATATCAAAAAGGTACTTCGATTTCGCTTGTTTGAGTCGGTGGCTATGTGGAAGAGGTTTAAATAGAGCTAGTCCAAGGGTGTTTTCTCCGGGTTAGCAATGAGATTGGAGAACATATGTCGTTCGATTGGAATATTATCGACGGTATATATTAGAGATCCGTGGTTTTTTATTTTATTGGTTGAAGAATGAAACTGGAGTGGATACAAGAGAACATCTGTTAGATAATGTTTTATCCAGCGGTTAGTAAATCGATCCGCGTCATGCGTAATTATTCTGTTTTAAGCCGTCAGATTAAGATCTCATCTGCGGTTCCCCTTTCCCCAAGTGATCTGGTTGGTAAACTGTACTGTACCTGGATTGCTTAGGTGGTATTTCTAAATAAAAGATATTCAATGTTTATCAAAATATTAATTTAGACCTTTAGCTTTTTTTAAGGATTTTAGTCTCTAACATTTTATTTTGAGGTAAAAAAGTTTGTATATAGATAAAAATTGTTAGTTAACTCACTATTAACACCCTAAAATATCAGTTTTTATCCTAAAATGAAATACTGAAAATCAAAAGGTTCTAAGAAAATAATAAGGGTCAAAATGATTATTCTGTCAAATTTAGTGTCTTTTTACCTTAAAATAAAATATTGAAGGCTAAATTGTTATTTCCTTATGCATTTTATGAAATTCGTCGTGAGAGAATAGCGAGTTTCACATGTATCGTAGTAAATTGTATGGATCCCTAGATAATTTTTCAACACATGCATTTTTCGAAAAGAAAACTCATGCCCACATTACTTCCAAATTTTATTGTATAAAGGATATTATTTTTAAAGCTAAAAGAAACAAAGGTTTAATGTTTTATGATACAACTAGGGTTGAGTTAAAGATCAAATATTGAGGGATTAAATTGTTTTATATCAAAAGAATAAAATTGTATTAAATATTTAAATCTAAAATTTGGAAGGGATAAAATTAATATTTTTCAAAAAAAAACCCTAAAATGTCATTGTACCAGAAAATGTGAGACATACTCCTCCCAGCCTCCTAATAGATTAATCTCTGGATATAATCCAACAAGTGTTTTAAAACTTTTAAAAAAGTTATATTATCTATTGTTTTAAAACTTTGAATATCAATTCGCGTTACAGTCAAACAAACAAAAATCATACCAAGAAATTGGCAAAAGCTAAATCTGAGGTGCAGATTTTGTTTCATAGATTACACTGTATGATACAATGTCATTAAAAGCACCAATGCTACCAACCATCCTTTCTATAATTCATTGCTACCTCAAGTCAACATGAGATCACTCCCAACAAGCCTAGGCCGGAGGCACACCAGTACTTCGTGCTCTTCGGTCACCTCTCTCAGTTTTGGCACCAAAATCTCAAGGACAGATCCCAGCCCATTGTGATATGCTTCTATGTTTGCATCTTCAGGGATTCGAGTCGACAATGGGATCTGTCTAAAAAATTGCCCAGTCGGGCAATGCTCAGTACACGAATCTGTCAGTTTGAAAGTCCGATCATGTCTCTTGATGAACGGCATGCCGGATGTGCTCACACAAGATATCTTTATGATACCATGGGTGAGAGTATTCCTCCAAGAGACCTTCACCCTTTGAAGATCAACGAAAGGCAAGCTGATAATGATCAAGTAACCCGCTTCATCTTCGTAGATGGTTTTTGAGGCAGTTACAGGCCCGTACACGTTTTTCATTATCACACTCACGTCATTTAACCAGTGTGGCTCACTGGATGAATTTCCATATCTGGAATTCGTTCCGACAGAGGAATGGCAGACAGATAGCAATCATCATCATTTCCATGCGGGAAAAGTTGTTTCCTCCTTTTGCTGCTGACAAGTGATGAGTCCATCCCATCGCCATTGCTATGGCTAGGTGGCTGAGTAGACAAATTAAGGCCAGTTCCATTAAGCAGCCTTTTCGAGTGAGAATTTGCAACACTCTTCATCGAAGGGGGAGGGACAGACCTCTCTAGCTCAAAATCCGTATTTGGAAGGTTTCTCCACGAGCTAAAGTCGCTAGCCTCAGGTGGAATTGTAAAGTTTATATCCCTTCCGGTAAGCTCCGTCCACCTTTTTCGATCATCCTCGTTGAGAGCCATGAGATTCGAAGATGGAACAACCTCGATCCCATGTACACACTGGGGGTTTGACAATCCTCTGTAATGCTTCCGTTGCATCCTGTGTGAACGGACGAATCCCTTATCCACACTAAATGGAAATGGGCGCTCTCCCAGGCGAGAATGGCCATTCATGTAGCTTCTGAGCTGCATCTTACCCAGTGCATTCTCGGGTCTCTCCTTGAAACCCACATGTACATATTCTCCATGTCGTGCTGAACCATAAAAATATCCAACTTCAGATCTGATTTATCGAAACCAGAAACACCGTTGCTATCGCGAATAATCTTGCCCTTGATTTTTCATTCAAAGTAGGCTTAAAGTAAAAACTAAAGAACAACCAAGCACCCCATATGCTATCTACCCGCTTGGCGAATTTTCGTCCCGTCTTGGGTGCAGCGAGGTAGCTCTCGGTCTCATAAACTTGTGAACTAAGACCAACATTCAAAATATCACACTGGTCCAAGTTCCATTGCTGCGGGGGAGGGCTCCGATCGGCCGAGAGAGGCAAATTGATATCAGGCGGCCGAGAAAGAATCTCCCATTTCAGGTTATCCGGCTGGAGAAGGTAGATTAAAATTTTCCATTGTTTTACCCATAAACAAAGAATTCAACTAAATAAAAATCTTATGAACGCCTTCATCATCATCATCATATCAATCACCACATTATCTCCCCTCCATCAAAACCCTAGAATCTATCAATCAGAACGAATAAATATACCAAAAAAATCACAGAAGTTAACAAATTTTTATCAATTAAATACCCTAACTAATCGAAAAAAGACAACTAAAACAACATTTGGAAGAAAAGAAAAACATGTTTAAAAAAGATAGCAAAAGATTTTACTATCAAACTCTTAAAGAAAAACAATATCTAACTCTAACCCTAGAATCTCCCGAAATTCTCCAAACAAATGTGAGACAAACTGAATCAAATCATCAAATCCATTAAAAAAACAAACCCAATTCTGTTTTCCTTTTGATGAAAGATTTTTTTTAAAGACGAACTTTTTCTAGAAGAGAAATGAAGTGATCTTAAAAGAGTGCCTTTTGGGATAAGCATCGAGGAATCGAGAAGAAGAGGGACCTCCATGAGCGATTATGAAGTTCATCTCCACCAAATCATCGTCTTCCACAAATTTTAACACTATTTCCCCCCTTATTATTCCCGTATCTTCCCTCTGTAAAACGCTTACACTGTTTCGATGTCGTCCTTTGTTTTGCCGTGAAGGAAAAATTATTTATTTTAAGAAGAAATGAGAAGAACAGCAAAAGCAAAGGTCGAATGTGAAGAGAGAAACAGAATGGCGAGCAGCGTCCAGATATATAGAGAGGTTTCATCAGTAAAAGCCTACACTAGATACAACCGATTTAACTCGCCGTTACTTAACGGTAACGCTGCACTTTTTCCACTGATGTTTTTAGAAGTCAATACTCCACAGTTTCCTGCAACCAGGTATTACTTCTCTCCATTTTCTCCCGCTTTTCTCCTTTCTTTCCATTTTTTAGGAATTTTACGAATTTTCCATTTTTTTGAATACGTTTTTTTAGCTGGGAAGATTATATAATTCCTAGGGATTATTATGGGTTATGTCTTCTCTACCGAATTACTTTAAAAATTAAATTTTTTATTCATATTTAACTTAATCCGAATGTTACACCATATTCAAAATTAAATTCGATTAATGAAATTTTACATATGATTCATATCGATTTAAATATATATAAATTTATTTTTATTATATAAAATAAAGATCTAATTGAAAACAAAATATAGAGAGATAATATTATAATTATCTCTAAATATAAATAATTATAATATTATCTCATTTCAAAATTTTCTCATCATAAATCTAATTCGATCTCATCTTTAAAATGATTTAACTAAAATTTAATATTTTTAAAATACCTGATCAAATCAAAATGAATAAAAACTTATTGTATTCAGATAAAATGTTCATTGATCCATAATAACACCTTAGGTTTACGGAAACAAATACTAAAGATGAGTAATTCACGATTTAAGTTTAATTGTATCTAAACCAAACCGATTGCCCTTTCCTTAGTTTTTTTCTTTGTGGCCGCTTCTTTATTTTCTTTTTCTTTTTTTATCTTTATTGGTTAATAACGGTATTAATTTCAGTCTTGGTCATTAATTTTTTGTATTCTTTATTTTTCTTAGGGTCTGTTTGTTTAGCTGTAATTGGTTTTCCAGAAAATGAATTACTGGAATTTGAATTACTAGAATTTGAATTACTGGAAAATGAATTACTGGAATTTGAATTCTGGAAAATGAATTACATTTCTGTAAAATGAATTACATTTCTGGAAAATGAATTACATTTCTGGAAAACGTTTTATGATTTTGGAAGATGTTATTTAACATTTTTTCGGTATATTTTAGTGAAATAAAATTTTATAAATTATATTAATTATTTATTAAAGTAATAGTACTATATTATATTTTAAAATATAATTAGTATATTTTAATATCTTTACTAAAATATTATTGAAATATATATAATATATTCATTAAATATATAAAAAATTTATTATATATTATTAAAATAAAAATATAATATCTTATATTATTATAATAAATTGATTATTTTATATAATATTAAAAGTATAATATTATATTATTATAAATATTAATAATATATTTTAAATATTTTAATAATTAATATTTTGATGAAAATGATATTAAAATATTTTATTAATATTAAATTCATAAAATAAAATTATTTTGAGTATTTTTGCTTTGAAGTGAAAAGTTCGGAAAATGACTTACGGAAAATGAATCCGTAAGTCATTTTACAGAAAACACAAAGGAAATTCTGTTACTAGGAAAATGAATTACATTCCGGAAAACGAATTACGTGAAACAAACACGGGAAAACGTT